GCGAGGCCTGTCTCCCCCCGCCCGCCCCGCCCACCTACCTACCTACCCGCCCGCCCTGCCTGCCTGCCGGCTCCGAGGAGGAGGAGGAGGCGGCAGCGTTCGCAGAGCGTCTCCTGCGCACGCGCAGGAGATGCTCTTGCACTTTTGGGGGGATTTAAACATCCCCCCGAAATTTTTTAAAACTTTTTTTATTTTTGTGCCCACGTGTGCACAAACCTCCCCCGGCCCCCCAGCTGCCCCCGGAGCGCTGATCTAGCGATCCGCACTCCGGGGGCCAGTTGGCTATTAGATACCTGTTTTCCACGACCACCCGCCATAGGGCTCCAAAGAACTAGAAACTCACAAGCTATGTTAGGGCAGTGGTGTCAAACATGTGGTCCGGGGGCCAGATCAGGCCGCCGGAGGGCTTCCATTAGGCCAGTAGTGGAACTGGCTGTCTTCTGCTTCTTCTTCCATTTCTGCTGCTGCTGCGTCATCGTAGGTTTGCAGCTTACAGATACACACCTGAACAGCACACTCAAGATTGCAACAGCACCGACATTTTGATGCAATAATTCAGCGCAAGAGGTGTCCGTTATCAAACACTGTTAAATAAACAAAATATTGCAAGAGTGCTAATGTTTAAAGAATGTTTTTATTTTAAGTTTAAAAAACCCCGTTATGTTTGTGTCCTTTATAAAGTTTATATCTCCGCTACCTGGCATTACATTATATGACACACATGGCCCGGCCCAACATGTCTCATTTATGTCACATCCGGCCTTCATAACAAATGAGTTCGACACCCCTGTGTTAGGGCATTCTGATTCAAAGATATGGGGTTCTTTAAATGTGGATCATGTTCAGTGTGTAGATGGGCTACTGAAACAAAAACCTATATCCATAAAGTAAATAATTATCATGTGCAAATTGAACATTTTATAAACTGTAAGGGTCTGGTCACACGGACTTTTTTTGCGGGATTCGCTGCTGATCCCTCGCGCTTTTAAAGTTTCTGTTTACATGCACCAATCCACCTCCCGCACCAAAGCAGGCTCACTCGCGCAAGACTCACGGGTTTTCCTGACCCCTGGAAAATCAAGTACTTTCCTGGATCTTGCGCTTTGAATGCACGATTTCACCTATGTGAACAGCCCTCTTTCACAATGATTTCGCAATTATTGCGAATAGGGCCGTCTGACCACTCTCTGAATTTTTTTTTTAAAAGCTTCCGGTTTGAGCGCATGGGCAGGCATTCGCTTAAGAAGTCAATTAAAAAAAAAGTCAGTGCTTACAGCAAGCAGGTGGCGGAGACGGCGCCGGAGCAGCACGAGTGGCTCGCGCCGCACACCTTCCTGCTGGGCCTCGACCTCGTGGCTGCCCAGAAGCGCCGGGAGAAGGCACGCCAGGCTGGTGGCAACTGGGCCGATGGCAAGGACAGCCCCGCGGCCGCCCAGGAGCAGCTGCTGCCGTCGCCGATGGGGACGAGGGCGAGG